AGGCGGCTTCAAAAAGTTCATGGGGGGAAAAAATCCAACACCCTCGGTTCCCTTTTTCCCAAACTTTTGGAAAGCTCCTCTTTTATCTTGTAAAGAACGCGGATCCATAATTACAAGCCTTTTCACAAAGGAAAGTCTAGGCCCAGAGTGCTTTACTAGTGAATGCTCTGTAAAAGGTAAGGGTGAAGCAATAACCACCTTGCAGAGACGACAGAAAGGAGAGCAGCGTGACCAGAGACTTGTTTCCATTGGAAAAAGGTGTAGTCATTTAGTGCCCAAAATAACTCATTGAATCTACTGATGTATTGTAAGGAAAATTCTGCCTAGAGGGATTTATTTCAGGAATGTGAAGTTGATTTAACAGCTTAAAGGTCAGATATATATTTGTATTTCCCCACTCCCACCCTGACACACATACCACACAGGAGCCCTGATAGCATAGTGATTACCCTTTGGGCTGTTAACCATAAGGTCAGCCATTCGAAACCACCTGCTGCTCCACAGAGAAAGATGGGGCTTTCTACTCCCACCAAGAGTTAGTGTTGGAAACTCAAGGGTCCTGTTCTATCTACCCTGCCCTCTAGGGTCGCAATGCGTCGACATCACCTTGAAGGCAGTGAGTTTGCATTGGTTTATACACACACACACACACACACACACAAATGGAACTGGAATTTGGTAGAATGTAGTGCATCTCGATGATTAAAAGCTGAGCGGAAACTTGAAATAAGAAGTCACTGCCCTAATGAGGTCAAGGGTATCCACAGACAAATAGCAAAACTAAAATCAAAGCTAATGTCGTGCTTCCTGCACTGAGCTCAGGAACAAGACAAAGATATTCACCATTACTGCTTTGATTTAAAATTTGGAAAGAGCGAAGTCATCTTTAATCAACGTGTAACTTGATCAAAGTTTATCTAGAAAATCTGGAGGAACGACGCATGGCTAGAAAGTCTAAGTGAACGTGGCACAGCCACTGGACACAGCAGCAGTTGGCAACAAGCACACACACTGTTTCTGGGCCAAGAACTCTGGAACACTGTGACCAGACCACCGACAAGAAGAGATCCTTATCGGTGCCCATTCCCAGGGAAGATTGCCCAACAGAGTCCACTGACTACCGAGCAACAGCACAAACACTACATGCAAGACAAAAGTTTGTCAGCGATCATGTAAAAACAGCTGCAGCAGTGCACCAAGGAGCTGGATTCTGAAGAGGACAGCATCACCACGTCACGTGGATCTTGCCTGAGAGACGCGAGTACCAGGAGGATGCTTGCTTGTGTTTACGAGACAAAGGTGTTTGTGTAGACAATAATTAAAAAAAAGATGGACAATACGGGGAAGAATAGACTTCCAGAACACATTATTTTGCTCCTGCACAATGCAAGAGACAGACCAACATGCCGTTGTTGGAACTGCACAAGGGAACACTGCATGGTTTAAAATCGGTGAAGGTGTGCCCCCGGCTTATATCCTTTCACCAAACTTAATAAGTGTGTGTGCTGAGCCAACAGACGATGAACTGTGTAAGGAAGAATGTGACATTAGGAATGAAGGAAGATAAGTGAACAGCATGTGAGAAGCAGATGACACCACCTTGCGCGCTGAAAGCAAGGAGGACCTGCAGCATGGACTGCCGACTACCAAAGACTCGGGGCTTCAGTGTGGGTTACACCGCATCATAATGACAACAAAAATCCTCACGATTGGACCAATAGCAACATCACAGTACACAGACAAAAGACTGAAATAGTCGAGGATTTTGTTTTTCCTTGGATCCACAGTTAGCACCCATGGAGACAGCAGTCGGGAAGTCAAGTGACGTGTTGCAAGAAAGCAGCTGTAAACGGCCTCTCTGACGTGTCAGAAAGAGAAGAAGTGTTTCTTTGAGGACTAACGTGCCCCTCACCCACTTTCAATCCTCGTGTGCGTGCTAAGGCTGGACAGTGGATCAGGAATAAAGAAGACGAGAAGAACTGGTGCTTTTGAATTTGGATGTGGGAGAAGAGTACTGAACATACAACAAGAGGGGCTTCATAAAATTCATGGAAACTTTTCCAGTATCTTTTTTTTTATATATGTACATAGAATTATATTTTGAGATTTCTTTTTCTATAGTGGGGGCGATCCAGTTTTTCCCTTTATTTCAAATATTGTACGAAATACTCATTACTGATGATTGTGTTTTAGCATACAAGAGACCCCAAATCTCAAATACAATTCAAGGAGAACATGTGTTAAATCTTAACGAGGACAAAGGTAAAGAGATATGATCCGGGTGAGGGAGACTATTAACATGAGGTCATAATGGTTCCAAGGGTTTTGCTGAGATACAGAGATTTTAAAAGGGGATAGGAGCACAAAGGAATTGTCAAAAAAGCATGATTGTCAGCATATCAATATACCACAGCATCGGCCACACCAAGGCAAGCGCCTAAGGGAGACAGCTCCTCCTTGGGCTGGGTGGGGGTGGGGGTGGGGATGGGGTGGAAGTGGAGATGAACTACTTTCCAATGAGATCTGCCCAAGGACAAGACTGTTCACATCAAAGCTTAATCCGCGTGGGGACTCTGCAAATACATTTTGGACTTTTGCAGTTATCCATAAACTTCTGCAAATGAGGTGCTCAGAGTTTAAAGTCTAATGCAATTGACAAATGATTTCAAGGTGTGGAGTGTTGTGCTTCCAGCTTTTACCTCCTTAAAAGCAGTGGTAAATTATTGGTTGATAAAACAATGGCCATACAAGGGGGTACCAAAAAACGGAATTTTCTTCCCCAAAGCTACGTATTTTATTTTTTTTTTTACAAAACAACCTTATCACCTTCAAGGTACTCTCCATTGCACTTAATACATTTGTCAAATCTGTGATTCAAACTCATCTGTTTGGATGGCTGACAACACTGCTCTCGTTTTCTCTTCACCTCTTCTCCATCATCAAATCGCTGTCCTTTCAAGTCTTCTCTGCATTTGTAAAAACTTTTTACCTTTGGTCTAAAGCAGGGGTCGGCAAACTGGCTCTCAAACCATATGTGGCTCTTTTGGTACGTACATGTGGCTCCTCATTTTGCAGGCTGTGTGACACTGGCGGCCTCCATTCCATCCTCCAAAGGCAGGACACACTCCTGGCTCGCCCAGAGCACTCTCCTCAAGCCGTCACCTCTCGGCTCTCTGTATTTCCCCTCACCGGCCCTGCTCGGCTCCGCACCTCCAGTATCTTTAAATTCAATTTTTTGGTGAACTTTTTGAAGCCACCTGTGTTAGGCTTGTTGCTCTAGAGCAGCAAAAACAGCGACACTTCTATGTGTGTATACAGAAGGAAATGTATATCAAGAAAATGGTTCACACAGTTATAGAAGCAGGTAAACCCAGCCCAGTTTCAAGTCTGGGGGTCAGATGTTAACCTGGAAGCCAGCTTCGGGAGCAGAGGACTGCAGAATCAGACTAGAGAGGTGGGCAAGTCTAAGGCCAGCAGTCCAGGCTTGAGACTAGAGAAATGACTAACTCCATGTTAGCAGTTCACATTGCAGGCTCCTGACTACTGATGGCCCCCAGACTCACCAGGCAATATGGCAAGATGTGTTAGTCCAAGTAGACTAGAGAAACAAATCCAGAGACACTCATATATGTGTTATAGAGAACTGTATATCAAAGGTAATTGTATATTAAGACAGTATCCCAGCCCAGACCAGATCAAGTCCATAAGACTGATATTAACCCATATGTCCAATACCAATCTATACATTCCTCTTCAGACTCACAAAACACATGCAATGATACCGAATGCAGGAAGATCACAGACCAGTGGGTGGAAAGTCTTGTGGATCCAGTGGTAGTGGAAGCATCTCGGCACTGGGGTGGGTCTCCATGTGGCTCCTCCAGCTCCAGGGCTCTGGTTCCATCAGTGTAGCTCCATCTGGCTTGATATCAGGAATGTCTCACAGCCAGTGTGTGTCCCACCTCCAGGGAAGAAGACAGGAGCTCCCAGAGTCCTCAGGAGAAGGCCATGCCCACACAGAGGTCTCATTGGCTGTGACCCAATTGACAGGCTAGACTCCACCCCTTCGCAAGTTGACAGATTATGTAACTACCACACAGGGTGCTGGCTCAAGTCTAAAGAACTTGGGAGTGGACCAGCCAGTTGCAGGAATTGGACCCAGCAAGAATCAAGCAACTTTCCATAGCTTCTGTTTCTTTTAGAAGTAAGCCACACACCCCCAAGGAAACGAAAGATAGAATTTGAACACAGCTCTCATGGTAAGGATTTACGAGGGCAAAACCGTGACTCTAACCTCCTTCCTTCCTTTCAGTCTCTATGCCCCTCCCAGTCAAAGGAGCCCTGGTGGTGCTGGCAGATAAGTGTTGGACTAGGCCACCATTGCTGCATGGGCGGCAGCTCCACTGTCTGCTCCCCCTGTCTCCTGGCTTTCTCCCGGCCAGTCTGCACCTGTTTACTGGTGAATTCATCGTTAAGATCTGTGTGTTTGTGAGGGCCACCAACTTTCCAGCTTTCCTTTTTCGTTACTATCCCCCCCCCCCTCCCCACTACTGCATGCCAAGTACTAGACCCTCTACCGAGGGCTATGGGGGCATAAGGGCGTAACTCACTGAGCTGGAAGAGCTAGCAGTCTAGGTAGGATACGTGTGCTCCAGTGATCCGCAGTCACCCCAGGAGGTCTGTAAGGCCAGGATTATGGCCCCTATTTTGTCGGTGGGACAACTGAACCTCGGAAGGTGGACTGGTAGCCACTGAGGCTCAAGGCTGGGCCAGGACCCAGGGACCAGACTCCAGCTCGGGGCTTCTCGTGGAACCAGTGTAGGCAGGGGGAAGGACTGGTTTTCAGACCCTCCCTGCCCAACAAAGCTGCCAGGTCCCATGTTCTACTTCTGCTCACTGGACCTGGACCCTTGGCCCCGGGGGAGGGTGGGGTGCAGCCCCCTCACCCCGGCATACCTCTTCACCGCTATATCTCTTTACATGCCTTCCCCCACCCCCAGGTTGTGATCAATTATTCAATCGTGAAAGGACTGAAGTACAACCAGGCCACACCCACCTTCCACCAGTGGCGAGACGCCCGCCAGGTCTACGGCTTGAACTTTGCGAGCAAGGAGGAGGCCACCACATTCTCCAACGCCATGCTCTTCGCTCTGAATGTCATGAACTCCCAGGAAGGAGGTGAGCCGGGCCTGGCACAGGGCGTCCCGGGTGCCGCTGCCCTGCGCCTGTGTCACTCGGGCCCCCAGACAGGCCTGCTGCCTGACTCCCTACTTGTAAAGAGAGGCTGGTGGTTTTTCAGCGGGGTGGGGGAGTGGGGGGATGGCGTTTCTGGCCTCTCGCGGAGCCGTACATCGAGATTTGGCAGAGATGGGCTGGAGTAAGCAACTATTTACTTTAATCTGTGCTGAGTACTAGCTGAATGCCAGGAACCAGCCGCCTAGCTAGACAGAGCACGTTAGAGAGTGAATTATTGGCCTTCCCCGCAGGCGGACCGTAAATAACTGGCTGTAACGGGGCCAGGTGCAGTCTCTAACCAGGCTGGAAGGGGCTGTAGGAGGCCCTTCCGGATACACAGAGAAAAAAGAACTGCCCAGCTGCCAAGGACGCCCTCTGCCAGCAGGGACATTGGAGATAGTCTACAGCAGGTGAGGCGACCACATGGAAGAGGCTAGGTGGGCATTCCAGGCACAGAGGTACGCGCCAGGCACATTGCCAGGAGAGCCCGTGGCAGCACGTGCCATGTTCCAGGGCAGCATGTGCCAGGGACACCTCCTGGGTAGGAATGAACGCAGAAGCGTCCTAGAGCTGGAGGCAGCTCTGGGCAGCCTTGATCTATGGCAGTGGTAGGGTCTAGCCAGCACTTTATGAGTAAGACCACTAAGGCCAAGAAACAGGGTCCAGGAGACTTCTGGAGGGAATTTACAGCAGCTCCTGGAGGTGGGGCAGCTGCGACTTTCCAGGTGTGGGCATCCTGACTGTCCAGCTCAGTGCTGCCTCGCTGCCTTGGGGGTGCGGGTGCGGGTGAGTGCTCATCAGAGAGCCAGACTTGGGGACACCATCGGCAGGCATCCTGGCCAACGGCCTTCCATCTCGGAACCCTTGGGTACATGCTCTCGTTTTTCCACCTGCTGATCTGAGAGCAAGGCTGTAAAACGTTCCTGGGACCTCTGGCAGCAGCCAGCCATCAGTAAGCGTCTTTTATTAATGGGCATGGCTGCCACCAACGCTGGGAGTGGTGGGGTACCGTGGCGCCATGACTGTAACATGTCTGTTAGGCTGGAGAATGAGTTGTAAGTACGCCTGCCTCTCCTGCCCCTCAAAGGCCCCTGGTTTGTGGGCTCCGTGGGAGGCCTGGCAGGCCAGCCCTACGCAGCCTCCTTACTGGGCTCTGTGGTGTGACCACGAGCCTGTCCACACTGCACAGGCACCTGCACCGTTAGACCGCCTTTTCCCACCGAGAACCTTGGGCTTCGTGTTAAAGCAAGCTGAGCCTGGGGTTCCTGACCTTCACTTACCTCTTCCTCCCTCAAGATGTGAAGGGTTAATTCATCCCGCCCACCAACTCTTACAAATCAACTGCTGAAATCCCATAAAACTCATGGCGACTGGGTCAATCCCCCCTCATACTGACCCTATAGGACAGAGTAGAACTGCCCTTGTGAGTTTCCAAGACTGTAACTCTTTACAAGAGTAGAAAGCCCCGTCTTTCTCCGGAGGGGTGGCTGATGGTTTCAAACCACTGACCTTGTGGTTAGCAGTCCATTGTGTAACCAGGATGCCACAAGGACTCCAATAATCGCTACCGATTCTTGCTGTTACATTCCACTACAGAATCACAAGTCGGTCTGTGGACCCCACAGCCTGATTTTCAGGTTAGAACACGGTGGCCCATTTTGAGGGGGATACCTATCTGCCACCAGAGGCTCCGGCAGATTCACCCCAACCCCAGGACCCCTTAGGATTGCGTGGATGTATCTTTTCCTTACGGAGTGGGGATGTCACCCAATGGTCTCGGGGCTAGAGGCCGGATTTGGAGCTTCCGCCAAGTGGGACTCGCTCCCCTCCTGCTTCCATACGGTGTGACCTGGGAGTGGGTGGAAGTGAGTGCACAGCTCTGAACAATGCAGCCTGGTGTTGTCCCATGGTGTCCTGGGCACCTGTGCCCCAGGACCGCTTCCTTTACGGCGTGAATCAAGCCCTGCCAGCCCCTTGGTGGCTGTGTCTCTCAAGCTGCACTTTTTGAGAGCTGCGACCATAGGATTGTGTGCAGGCAGCGGAGTTTTCTCCCCAGTGCTGCAGTGTCCCACTGTGAATGCCCTGCCATGTGCTGGCCCAGCCTGCTTCCCATGGGGCCACAAAGCCCTTGGACCTTGTCCAGGACCCAGGCGGCCCCTCTCGCATTTACCTTTTGTCTGCCTACAGCCACATGGGCCAGCTGGCCATCAGGTGTAGAGTTGTTTCCTATCAGGTCCCCTGGGCCTCTGGGGAGGAAGACAGCAGGTGAGGTGCAGAAGCACCTACTGGGAGGCAGCTAGATCTTCACTCTGCGCCCATGTGACCTTGGAACAATAAACTCTACTTTATAGGGTTAAGGAGCCCTCGTGGTGTAGCGGTTCCCTGTTGGTCTGCTAATCACAAGGTCAGCTGTTCAAAACCACCAGCCACTCGGGAGAAAGGCAGAGCTTTCTATTCCTGCAAACAGTTATAGAGTTCTTAGAAGCGCACCTGGGAGTCGGCATGAACTCCATGGCAGTGGGCTTGGGTTTGGTTTGGTTATAGGGGCGTTAAGAAAATGCGATTGGAAAGGTTTGTCTTCTTGATGAGAGCCCAGGTAATACTGGCTCGTCTTTCCCTTTGTGTCTTGTTTAGTTTGGCTGTCTTGTCAGCACTTCAGATTCTGTTTATAAAATTGGAATCTCAATACCTCTTTTTTTTGAGAGAGAATTGGAGGGTGCCTGGAAGCCAAACCTGCATGCCTTTCCCATCAGTGTGGCATGGTGTGTCCCGTGGTAGATTGCAGGTTCGTGAGGCTCCCCTGGCCCTGCTCTGCTGATCCCTTCAGATGAGCCTGTGTCTCAAGGGTCTTGCTCAGAATCTGTACCCCCACCCCTTGTATACAAACTGGCCAGATATGAACTCTAGCAAGGGTCTTCTAGACCTGGCAGAACAGAGCTGTTTAGACACCAAATCAGGTGGCAGAGTGGGTTACTTAGGCCTTGGGCTGCTAACCACAAGGTTAGCAGTTCAAAACCACTAGCAGCTCCACAGGAGAAAGATGAGGCTTTCCACTCCCATAAACAGTCGCTGCCTTAGAGACCCACAAGGACAGTTCTCCTCTGCCCACTAGGGTGGCAGTGAATTTGAGGTGTTGTCATCATTGTTCATACAAGGACCCCTCGTGGCTCCGTGACTTAGTGCTTAGCTGCTCTCAGAAAGGTCCGTGCCTGGCACCCCCAGCCGCTCCACAGGAGAAACGTCTGACCATCTGCGTCTGAGGCCGGTCCAGCCTTGGGATCCACACGGACAGGTCTACCCTCTGAAGCATGTTCTCATGCCAGGCCTTGCTACATTCTCACTGCTCTCAGGCAGCGCCCACGTCCTGGGGAGGCCTGGGTGGCACTCACCCCTCAGCCTGTGCTTCAGTGGCCGGGACCAGACTGGGGACCTGCTTCTGTGTCCTTTCCTTCCTGCGCTTTGGCCCAGCACAGCCCCGGCCAGCCTGGCCGCCCGGCCCTGTGCTTACTGCCTGCCCACTAGCCGGGGAAGAGCTGTAGGCCCCGACTCACACAGCATCTTTCTTCTGGCGGCAGCAGTGCACTCAGAATACTCCACATTCAACTTCAGGCCTTGCCTAGGAAAGTGAGAGTCAGTGTGTCAGACTTTAAAGAAAAGATGTAAAATGTGAAGTCCTCATGGGACCAGTGCTCTTGATTTCCAGAGGGGAGGGAGAAGGGAAAGCAGGGCCAGCTGACAGGGAGAGGGTACAGAGCCAGCTGGGGGGCTAGTGGGCCCATTTAAGGCTCTGGGTTCAGAAGTGGCTTCTTTGGCGGGGACCAACCACTGGGTCACTGGGACTTGTTTCCACAGAAACCAACACCTCGGACCCCTCCTGCGAGGTTCTCCCTAGGAGAGAGGAAGTTCCAGGGGCTGAGGGGACTCTGTCAGCTCCTGAGGGAGAACCTGGCTGTGAGGAGCTCTCTGTGTGCTCTGCTGGTCCCTAGGGCTCCCAGAGCTCTAGGCCTTTTCTGGGTGCTGTGTCTCAGTAACAATGATACATAGGTGGCCCGGCCCTTTCTGTGTGCTGTGTCTCTATAACAATGATACATAGGTGACCCGGCCCTTTCTGGGTGCTGTGTCTCAGTAACAATGATACATAGGTGACCCGGCCCTTTCTGGGTGCTGTGTCTCAGTAACAATGATACATAGGTGGCCCGGCCCTTTCTGGGTGCTGTGTCTCAGTAACAATGATACATAGGTGGCCCGGCCCTTTCTGGGTGCTGTGTCACAATAACAATGATACGTGAGTGTTCTTTTCAAAGGCTATTATTATTGCGTCTCAGTGCTTCCTAGTTGACTTCCACCCATAATGACCCGTTGCACAAGGGAATGGAACACCACCCAGCCCTATGCTGTTGTCACCGGGTTTGAGCAAAGTCACCGAGTCAGCCCATCTCCTTAAGAGTCTTCCTCTTCTGCACCAGCCCCCTGCTTGACCGCCGCCGGACGTCATCCCCAAGCCACAAAGATGCAGGCCCAGCAACCTCGACTCACGTGCTGCACGCCCTGCACCACACTGCTCTCCTGACAGTCCGTGGGCCCAGCGCTCTCAGACAGCACGGTCTGTCCTTCGAAGGCAGCATGTCCTCTTGCAGTCTTCTTTACTCCCTGCTCAGGGTCACATGCACGTGCAGTGAAGGAAGACACCAGGGTTGGGTCCAGTGATCCTCAGGCTCACATCCTGGCATTTGGGGAGCGCAGGGAAGAGGGGTCGTTTTCATTTTGTTTGTGCTTCTGGGAAGGGTGGGTGTTTTTCCGCACAGCGGTGGATGATTCCATCTTTTTGGAATAGTTCCATTCGGAGTGGTGCAAAGTCACCGCCCGTTCACCTGCGTCTGCGCAACCGCCCACCCCACCCCCACCCAGGTATGTCCTTTCGACCAAAACAACAGACAGCAAAT